CCCCCCCCCCCTCAACCTGAGAATTTTCTTAAACAATCATGTATTTTCACCATTTTCCTCAATTTTTCCCCACTTGGAAACCCCACCCTGAAAATTTGGAAACTCCCCCAGATAGGTCTCTGGATCCGCCACTGTCTGATGTATCTGTTTGTCTGAGGTATATTTATTGTACACCGGAAAATTTTCACTGAAGTTTTATTTCGCCTTTTTTGTCTGCCATAACGAGGGTGAATTTATCATTACAGCGAACATTAGCAAACAACATAATATACATAGTAATTAAATATAAAGGGCAAATCAACACTGGAAAATAGGGATTATTATGGTGAAGGGCGAAAGTTTGACTGGGCTAAAACTTCCTGGTAATAATGCAGGTTATCTATGTAGTACCTCTTATGTGTGTGATGTACTAGTGTGAGTGACGTACCTTGCCTGCATGTCGCGCGCCTTGGTCAGTGAATCCATGGCCTCCTCCAGTCTGTCCACCTTCTGATACACCCTGGCCAGTAACACCATGTACTTAGTGTGTTCCATCATCAGGTCAATGTCACCACCTACACGACAAGGTTATTCATTTTAGATTTTAAACAATTTAAAACTTTTAACCCTGGAACATTGCTGATTTCAGATCATGAACCATAAGGGTGGACTATCACTCTCTTATATGGATTAAAACTGAATGGTTGTTTCCCTCATATGCTATGGGCAGATCAGTTGTTGAAATGTTAAAGGAACTAGATACACTGAAACTATCTCCACAAAAACATTCTACATACCAGCTATAGCTCAGGAACTACACCAATGAGGTAAAAAAAGGACATTTAGATGACAGAAAAACTACACTGCAAAAGACATGGTTGCTTGTTTAGTGCTGTAGTGATTCTCCAAACTGAAAACCTCAACCTTGAGATACTGTATTCACTGCAATAAGTGTGCTCAAAAATTGGCTTAAGGGGAGAGGGAGTGTGAGGATAATATACTGTGAGTTATGATAGAAATAGATGTGCAACTTAAACCTTATCACTGGAGGACTTTCCATTGTGGCTAGAGTTTTGAAAATAAAAACTTTCATCAGTTTCACGCTAAATCAAGCAATAATTACCAGGCATACATCTCTGCTTTAAAGTGCAAGTACTTTTAATCATTGACTGGGAATGGTCATGTTTATCATTTCAATTCCTCCTGGAAAAGGGGGATGGGTGCTTATAGGAGCAGAGCTCATTATGGCAAACCAGTATTCTCAGATTTGAACAACTGATGGTGTACAGAACCTGCGGTAGAGAACCTGGAGTATAGTCTATGTAGGAGGACATTGTGTCCTGTGGTAGTGAAGACCTATTTCTGCAGTAAACCTGGTGTATATAGCTATAGTCTGTGTAGGAATACCTGTGTCCTGTGGTCGTGAGGCCCTATTTCTGGAGTAAACCTGGTGCATATAGCTATAGTCTGTGTAGGAATACCTGTGTCCTGTGGTCGTGAGGCCCTATTTCTGGAGTAAACCTGGTGTATATAGCTATAGTCTGTGTAGGAATTCCTGTGTCCTGTGGTAGTGAGGACCTATTTCTGGAGTAAACTTGGTGCATATAGCTATAGTCTGTGTAGGAATACCTGTGTGTCCTGTGGTACGTAGTGAGGACCTATTTCTGGAGTAGGCCTGGTGTATATAGCTATAGTCTGTGTAGGAATACCTGTGTGTCCTGTGGTACGTAGTGAGGACCTATTTCTGGAGTAGGCCTGGTGTATATAGCTATAGTCTGTGTAGGAATACCTGTGTGTCCTGTGGGACGTAGTGAGGACCTATTTCTGGAGTAAACTTGGTGCATATAGCTATAGTCTGTGTAGGAATCCCTGTGTCCTGTGGTAGTGAGGCCCTATTTCTGGAGTAAACCTGGTATATATAGCTATAGTCTGTGTAGGAATCCCTGTGTCCTGTGGTAGTGAGGTCCTATTTCTGGAGTAAACCTGGTATATATAGCTATAGTCTGTGTAGGAATACCTGTGTGTCCTGTGGTACGTAGTGAGGACCTATTTCTGGAGAAAACCTGGTGTATATAGTCTGTGTAGGAATACCTGTGTGTCCTGTGGTACGTAGTGAGGACCTATTTCTGGAGTAAACCTGGTGTATATAGTCTGTGTAGGAATACCTGTGTGTCCTGTGGTACGTAGTGAGGACCTATTTCTGGAGTAGACCTGGTGTATATAGCTATAGTCTGTGTAGGAATACCTGTGTCCTGTGGTAGTGAGGACCTATTTCTGGAGTAAACCTGGTGTATATAGCTATAGTCTGTGTAGGAATACCTGTGTCCTGTGGTAGTGAGGACCTATTTCTGGAGTAAACCTGGTGTATATAGCTATAGTCTGTGTAGGAATACCTGTGTCCTGTGGTAGTGAGGACCTATTTCTGGAGTAAACCTGGTGTATATAGCTATAGTCTGTGTAGGAATACCTGTGTCCTGTGGTAGTGAGGACCTATTTCTGGAGTAAACCTGGTGTATATAGCTATAGTCTGTGTAGGAATACCTGTGTCCTGTGGTAGTGAGGACCTATTTCTGGAGTAAACCTGGTGTATATAGCTATAGTCTGTGTAGGAATACCTGTGTCCTGTGGTAGTGAGGACCTATTTCTGGAGTAAACCTGGTGTATATAGCTATAGTCTGTGTAGGAATACCTGTGTCCTGTGGTAGTGAGGACCTATTTCTGGAGTAAACCTGGTGTATATAGCTATAGTCTGTGTAGGAATACCTGTGTCCTGTGGTAGTGAGGACCTATTTCTGGAGTAAACCTGGTGTATATAGCTATAGTCTGTGTAGGAATACCTGTGTCCTGTGGTAGTGAGGACCTATTTCTGGAGTAAACCTGGTGTATATAGCTATAGTCTGTGTAGGAATACCTGTGTCCTGTGGTAGTGAGGACCTATTTCTGGAGTAAACCTGGTGTATATAGCTATAGTCTGTGTAGGAATACCTGTGTCCTGTGGTAGTGAGGACCTATTTCTGGAGTAAACCTGGTGTATATAGCTATAGTCTGTGTAGGAATACCTGTGTCCTGTGGTAGTGAGGACCTATTTCTGGAGTAAACCTGGTGTATATAGCTATAGTCTGTGTAGGAATACCTGTGTCCTGTGGTAGTGAGGACCTATTTCTGGAGTAAACCTGGTGTATATAGCTATAGTCTGTGTAGGAATACCTGTGTCCTGTGGTAGTGAGGACCTATTTCTGGAGTAAACCTGGTGTATATAGCTATAGTCTGTGTAGGAATACCTGTGTCCTGTGGTAGTGAGGACCTATTTCTGGAGTAAACCTGGTGTATATAGCTATAGTCTGTGTAGGAATACCTGTGTCCTGTGGTAGTGAGGACCTATTTCTGGAGTAAACCTGGTGTATATAGCTATAGTCTGTGTAGGAATACCTGTGTCCTGTGGTAGTGAGGACCTATTTCTGGAGTAAACCTGGTGTATATAGCTATAGTCTGTGTAGGAATACCTGTGTCCTGTGGTAGTGAGGACCTATTTCTGGAGTAAACCTGGTGTATATAGCTATAGTCTGTGTAGGAATACCTGTGTCCTGTGGTAGTGAGGACCTATTTCTGGAGTAAACCTGGTGTATATAGCTATAGTCTGTGTAGGAATACCTGTGTCCTGTGGTAGTGAGGACCTATTTCTGGAGTAAACCTGGTGTATATAGCTATAGTCTGTGTAGGAATACCTGTGTCCTGTGGTAGTGAGGACCTATTTCTGGAGTAAACCTGGTGTATATAGCTATAGTCTGTGTAGGAATACCTGTGTCCTGTGGTAGTGAGGACCTATTTCTGGAGTAAACCTGGTGTATATAGCTATAGTCTGTGTAGGAATACCTGTGTCCTGTGGTAGTGAGGACCTATTTCTGGAGTAAACCTGGTGTATATAGCTATAGTCTGTGTAGGAATACCTGTGTCCTGTGGTAGTGAGGACCTATTTCTGGAGTAAACCTGGTGTATATAGCTATAGTCTGTGTAGGAATACCTGTGTCCTGTGGTAGTGAGGACCTATTTCTGGAGTAAACCTGGTGTATATAGCTATAGTCTGTGTAGGAATACCTGTGTCCTGTGGTAGTGAGGACCTATTTCTGGAGTAAACCTGGTGTATATAGCTATAGTCTGTGTAGGAATACCTGTGTCCTGTGGTAGTGAGGACCTATTTCTGGAGTAAACCTGGTGTATATAGCTATAGTCTGTGTAGGAATACCTGTGTCCTGTGGTAGTGAGGCCCTATTTCTGGAGTAAACCTGGTGCATATAGCTATAGTCTGTGTAGGAATACCTGTGTCCCGTGGTAGTGAGGACCTATTTCTTGAGTAAACCTGGTGTATATAGCTGTAGTCTGTGTAGGAATCCCTGTGTCCTGTGGTTGTGAGGACCTATTTCTGGAGTGAACCTGGTGTATATAGTCTGTGTAGAAATACCTGTGTCCTGTGGAAGCGAGGCCCTATTTCTGGAGTAAAACTGGTGTATATAGCTGTAGTCTGTGTAGGAATACCTCCCCCCTGTGGTAGTGAGGATCTATTTCTGGAGTAATCCTGGTGTATATAGTCTGTGTAGAAATACCTGTGTCCTGTGGGAGGGAGGACCTATTTCTGGAGTAAACCTGGTGTATATAGTCTGTGTAGGAATACCTGTGTCCTGCTGTAAAGCTGTCGTGAGGACTTTCTCTGCCTTGTCATACTGCCTCAGCTTCAGTAACAGCTCGGCCAGATCATGCCTGTAACACACAAGTGGGTAGAACTGTCAAAATCATTTACCATCACAGAGAATTGAGGTTTGTCATAATCAAAGAATATGGGATTGTCAGCCCCAGGCAAAGCATCCAAGATTGTCATCTGCTCCGGTTGCTGTTCTGACCGGGCCTGTGTAACAGTGACCTTCTTAATACGATCTTGTTCAAGCTCAACTTCAAAATCAATTCCAGAAACTTCTACACAATAAAATGTTGCAAAACCTCTTGGAACAATATCCTTTAGAGTACCTGTTCCTTTGTTGTCAATTGTAACCATGTCGCCAATGTTTATCTGGTCAGCCATATTTTACTACGGTGTAGTAAGTATAATTATTGCTTGTAGTGGCGCAGGAATATGTTCCCACGGTTTTGACCAATCACAGCACCTTTAGGTTTTTTACACGTGTGTAATACCATATTTATGACATGGCCGTATGACACAGTAAAATGGGCCAGTTATGTGATAAAGACAAGTAAGACTTTTGTACTGACTAATCCCATATTTAGGAACTAATTTACAGTAAATTTTAGTAAGAAAACCAAGTGTCAGGAAACAGTACACTGCCAGAGAAGCAAGACAAGTCAGAGATGTTGTGACAGGATCAGAATGGTTTGAAGGAAGCTTTACCTTGACTTCCTTTTCTAATCATTCATAATATTATGTTTTACAAAGAATATAAAACATAGTTGATCAGTCTGTGCTATATGATTTTGTGTTATAAAAACTAGTGTAATTTGCAGTATTTTGTGTTGATAATAAATTTCAACAAGGGATGCAAGTATTTTCAAGTGATCTTTCAGAGAAATATTGTCATATTGCAAGGTCAAATCATTTTGAAAAAGATGGATTGCCTACATGTACACACTGAACTTAAGGCAGATAAACATTCAACAACTTATGATAATAAATGTTTAAGAAAAAAATGCATCCCCAATATATATCTATGTGCTGCTGTCAAATTTTATGCATAAAATATGAGAAGCATTTTCAGCTCAAATTTAAACCTGCGCAAATTTCATACATGCATGAATTCCACAAGTTTGATGGTAAAATCTCACCAGACAAGCACTCACCTGAGGAAGGCCTGTCCTCCACTCTTCAGGGCAGCCTCATAATAGTTAATAGCCTAAAACAGAGACATAGCCAGCCAAATATCAAACCTGCTGCTGCTTTATTTAATGAAACACTCAGTAATTCATCCTGATAATAACACCCTACAAAAACTGCTTAATGAACTCTCTACCTTGAATTCATAAAAGAAATATAAGTCTAATATTATGTAAATATAATATTAGTTTCTTTCTACAAATTGTTCCCCTCTTATTCAGGTTTTCCACAGTATTGCCTCCATAAAAGTTGCCATGACAACCCTGCCTCTATTCATCAGTTTGACACCGATCTGTAGGTCAATACCTCTGAATCAATCAATCAATACAGCATGAATTTGCATGGTATTCGCGACCTTGAATATTTTTGTATCCCTCTTCCAACAAAACACATAAGTTATCTTCCACTACCTTTCCGTAGTTGTGGGTCTTGACAAGTGCCTCTCCTATCTTACTGGCTAACTGTGCATCACGTGGATTTTTCTTCAGAGCAGACTCGTACACGTCAATGGCCTTTTCCGGCTATGAACAAAGTTTACATTCAAATATTTATATGCATAACAACTCTGGGAAAGTCCAAGTATATTTTAGTTTTCTTGAAGGTGTCTGAGGTGACTTGATGCGTTCAATAGAAAAAAATACATAATTAAGTCCACAATATTTATCTTTTTCATAATTAACTTGAATATTCATCTTAAAATACCGACTCATTAAAAGCAGAGATGTAATGACTGATTTTTTAATCTGTTGTTCAGCCATTACTTTACAATCTTTTAAGAGAGATGAAATCTCCAAAATCAACTATAAAGGTCATTTTCCTATTAAGCAGCTTCTAATCATTTACAGGTACAAGTACTACTTATGGTTTTGTGTATACATACCTCCTGAATACTCATGTAGGCATCACCTAGCAACAGGCAGGTTTGAGGACTTGGGTGCTTGTCTACCAGCTCTCTGCAACAGAAAAACATCAGCAAACAAATATTATTCACTGGTAAAACAGAATAAGGAAAATATGACTTAACAAACACTGATTGGTTAAAACAGATCAATTCTTTTTAGTTAAAGAAAAGAAATTGATAATGTTGGACAAATCAAAGCAATTTTTGTAATATGTTTTGAAGCATTACCGAAATGACAAATGTTCACTGAATACATACTGCAAATTATGTGTGAAAAAAAACAACACTTACAGATAGTAGAAAGAGTTGCCTACCTGTAACAGCTAGCATACAGACGCTTGTCCTTCCTGTGAACCAAGTAGATGTCAGCCATCTTCTCACGAGCCTGGACATAATAGGGTTGATCAGAAGTCACATTCCTAAGCATGCCCAGTGCCATCTCTACGTCACCACGAGCCAAAGAGAGGTCAGCATTGGCAATGGTTATCCGCACCTCCTCTGGCGTGTTATTGAACTCATTGATAGCGTCCTGCATGACTTTGGCAGCCTCATGCTACAACAAAGGAATATAGGATGAAATGATATCGTTAGTTACTTTCTAAAATTAAATTTTATAAATCATAATTGACAAGAATTCTAATGCCTGATCTAGTTAGTTGTAATTTTATAACTGATCTAGTTCTAGTACTATTAAAACTCCAGTTCAGTTTATTAAATTGTCTATTTTGAGCTTATCCAATGTCTCCTTTTACATGGTATAGCTATCCATCCTCCCCTTTCCATTGCAGTAAGACCCACCTGTTCTCCCAGCAGTCTGTGTGCCTCTGCCAGCTCTAGAAACACCGACACTCTGTCATTGACACTGATTGATACACCTTTACCCTTCTTTGGATCATTTCCTCTACCTGTACAAAACAAACAAACACACTGGTAATTTTTTTTAGCATGCTTGCCAGTTAATCTAACCAAAAGAAAATCATATACTTATTACAACTTAATAATTTTTTAGATTAAACATGATTAAATAATTACATGGTCTGACTGTATTGTTTACACTCTTACAGTGTCAACTTTAATTTCCTGCTTAAAATCTTTGAAACTTGTTCAAATACTATTGATGAAAATGACCCTTTTCTATGTTTCTATATGTGACCTCTCTTTGCTGTAAATACTGCCCACATACCAATGGTTTTGACCCCTGGTAATGTCATGGCCATCTGAAGTGTCTTGACGGCCTCAGCATGGTCCCCTTGTTTCTTGAGAATGCGCGCCTTAATGAGGTGGTACAGAGGAGAATCTCGAACCTGGCATAGAAGGCACATGTTGATATATAATTATTTCACTTGAGCAGATTGTCAATCTGTATCATTGCCCTCAAGGTGACCAAGGAACAGAGTGTCTAAATAACAGTACAGCAGTATAGAACATAAACTGAAAGATCAGAAATTTAATGGTTTACAGCCCAAAATAATCAAAGTACTGTAGTAAAGTTTAAATTAATAAAATACTAAACCCTTCCTGTGTTATTATGTACCTTCAAAGTACAATTTACTCATCCCTTCTTCCATCTCTATTTTCTTAGTCTAATCTTCAAAAAAAAATGTATTGTTCTGTATAAATTAATTATAAACTATAAAGAGGAACTGAAAATAGTTACATCGTGCCTACCCCTGATCAGCTGCCAAGAAGGTAGGGGAAATAACTGTTCTTTGAGCTATTGAGGATCATGTAATCTTACACCAATTTCTATCATTTTGGAAGTCACTGTAACCTACACTTTGATATCTGACCTACCTTTCATACAAATGATGTAGCCTTTGTCACCTCAACTAAATCAAAGACGGCATGTTAAATAAGGACTTTACCTTTAGCTTGTATTGATAGTCATCTGAAATACAAAACTTACCTCAAAGTTGTAACTCAGTCCCACTTCAAGTGATTGGTTAGCTAACTTAAAGTTGCTTTGGTGTAGGTGGATCTATTTTAAACAAGAAAATATTACATTGAAGATCATGAATTTCAGAATCTGTCAAGATGATGATGATGATGATGATGAATAACATAATTATTTAATAATGTTTTTTTAAATCACTATTTTTTTTTATTTTTTATTTTTTTATAAATTTGATTTTTTTTTTTTTTTTATGTTAGCACAGAGAAATAATAAAACCTGGCATTCCTAATACAGAAAAGAATCGAGGGCTGTTAATCTTTGTGAAAAGAAATGTTTGTAGGTTGCATTTAGCTTTTAAATTAATAACAAATTATTTTCAGCTCTTGAAACCTGTACACAGCAGTAAAATCATTCATACAAAATTAACGTAGAAACATAACGAATATATTGTAACATCTGAAGTCATTTATTATTTTTAATAAATTATAACTACCACTACTTCTGTGAAACTTGATATTGGAGAAAACATTAATATTTTTAATGTGACATTAACTTTACTGTGTACTGTGATACTAACCTGTGCCATCAGTATGTGGGCGTCAGAGAAGGTGGTGTCTACTTCTAAACAATGGTTCAGTGTACCTTGGGCCCCATCAATATCACCTATACAACACCAAAGGAAACATTTACCAGTCCCATCAACCACAATGATTTCTCTCAGACATGTGTATCCTCTTAAGGGAAAATACAAGATATATGATAAATAACACCTCTGTGAGACAAAGTGAAATGGAATAGTCCTTAAACATCTATTGTTCCAATTAACACTCAGTTTAATTTTGATCATTCTCTGATTAAGCAGCCTGGCCTGTGCTTTTGTTTGGTAAAATACTGTAGCTCTGTATAATCTGACTTAATCAACAAGATTAGTTTTGACTTTTTAAGTGGTAATTTGCACTGAAACTGAACAACAGGTAAAACCTTAAGCTTGATATGTTCTTTATTTATGCTTAACCTGTTTTCCCTCCCTTGTAAATCAGGGAATACGTTTATAAGATTGAATACCTATTACAAAGTATCTATATATGTGGATGCACAATAAACAAAAAACATTAGTAATGGCAAACCTCTGGAGAAGAATAAAACAGAAACCACAATTCTTTTATTTTATTTATGGTTTTATGATAATGATTTTTCATGACAAGTTGTAATGAAGTCTGTACAAACCCTGGAGAAACTTGATCCTTCCAAGGTAGTAGAGAGCCTCCAGTAGTCCTGGCACAGCCCTGGCCAGTGGATCTAACACCTGGTTACAGCGCTTCAGGACGGGGCTCACTGCCTGACCGTTCTGTGGGGGCTGGACAATTCACAAAACAGATCATACAGTACACATTAACAGTACACAAAACAGATCATACAGTACACAAAACAGATCATACAATACACAAAACAGATCATACAGTACACAAAACAGACCATACAGTACACAAAACATATCATACAGTACACAAAACATATCATACAGTATACAAAACACATCATACAGTACACAAAACAGATCATACAGTACACCAAACAGATCATCCAGTACACAAAAACACATCATACAGTACACAAAAACAGATCATACAGTACACAAAACAGACCATACAGTACACAAAAACAGATCATACAGTACACAAAACAGACCATACAGTACACAAAAACATATCATACAGTACACAAAACAGACCATACAGTACACAAAAACAGATCATACAGTATACAAAACAGATCATACAGTACACCAAACAGATCATACAGTACACAAAAACACATCATACAGTACACAAAAACAGATCATACAGTACACCAAACAGATCATACAGTACACAAAAACACATCATACAGTATACAAAACAAATCATACAGTATACCAAACAGATCATACAGTATACAAAACAGATCATACAGTATACAAAACAGATCATACAGTACACAAAACACATGATACAGTTTACAAAACAGATCATACAGAACACAAAACAGATCATACAGTACACCAAACCGATCATACAGTACACAAAAACACATCATACAGTATACAAAACAAATCATACAGTATACCAAACAGATCATACAGTATACAAAACAGATCATAAAGTATACCAAAAAGATCAAACAGTACACCAAACAGATCATACAGTATACAAAAAAGATCATACAGTACACAAAAACAGATCATACAGTACACAAAAACACATCATACAGTTTACAAAACAGTTCATACAGTACACAAAACAGACCATACAGTATACAAAACAGATCATACAGTACACAAAACAGACCATACAGTATACAAAACAGATCATACAGTATACCAAACAGATCATACAGTACACCAAACAGATCATACAGTATACAAAACAGATCATACAGTACACAAAACAGATGATACAGTTTACAAAACAGATCATACAGTACACAAAAACAGATCATACAGTACACAAAACAAATCATACAGTACACAAAACATATCATACAGTACACAAAACAGATCATACTCCTATGAGTGGAGACGAAGATGATCCAATATACAAATACCTTTCAATATAATTAGTCAAGTACATTATCTTGATAAATATACTAATGGTTAGATACATAATATATTGCACAAATGTACATTATACAGATGGATATTACATAGATGTATAAGTATATCATTTGTATAAATTTGACAACATCAAATTGTCTACACTGTTAGAATCACTTCCTTGCCCTATATTCCAATTATAAATCATTTGTATCTTATAAACATATTATGTTTGCAAGGATCCAGTGTTATGTAGGAAGTAACTGTTGATATTACTTCTTTGACCCATATATTATTTGTATTTCATATATCATGTGAAAAGACAGTTGTAGCACAATTGTAGAAATAATTCAATGTGAAATTAAAATGATTAACTATCATTGTGCTAACTCTACAACCTACCGTTTGAGGAGCAAACTGGAGGTAATCTTTGATGATCTGTAGCAGGAAGTCAGGATTCAACAGCAGGTAATAACGGTTGCCTAGAGGGAACCCCTGACAATACAAACACAAGATGATGTACTCATATAAACTGTTATCACTACGGTCACAGGGTATAACAAATAGACATCAGAGCAAAAAATATCTTCCTGTAGGTGGATGTAGCATTTTTATTTTAGATGTTCTTCCACATATCAAATGTTCTTTAAAACAAGGTATCTGTGATTTTTTTTCTAGTTTTTACATTAAAGTTTTATAATATACGACAATACACTTACCTAATACAGTTCAGAACAGAATATACAGCACTTCAAAACACATCTTGATTGATACATATCATAGAAGTGATAGTCTCTATAATCGTGACTTACCAGTATTGAATTTTAACCACTGTAAAAAAAAAGAAAAAATCTGTGCTGATACTTATGCATCTGATCCAGCAACATCAAGAATTAATTTTACAAAACAGTACAGTCCTCACCTTCAATCCCTGGAAGTGGACTTCTATGGCAGAGTTGAGCAGCTCAATGGCTTTCTCTGGCCCCTGACGACGCTTGATTGCTAGCAGCCCACTCAGGTAGGACAGCTCCTTAGGAGGAGAAACAAAACAGTTACAGCTGGGGTAAAGTTATATTTTGGGATACACACAGAAACAGCAGGATATATTTGGGGATACATACAGAAACAGCAGGTTATATTTGGGGATACACACAGAAACAGCAGGTTATATTTGGGGATGCACACAGAAACAGCAGGTTATATTTAGGGATACACACAGAAACAGCAGGTTATATTTGCGGTTACAGATAGAAACATATAAGGCTATAATAGTGGAGGTATACATGATGGCAGAAATATATTGAGGGTTATATTTGGGAGTATGCATAGAAACAGGGTTATGTTTAGGGGCATTTTTGAAGCTTTACCATAATACATTTCATCAATAAAGAGCAAAAATAGTTTGTAAGGCTTAATATGAAATATGTGATTTAATATGATTTAGCTCAGATAATTCAATTTAAGATAAATGATTTAATTCAAACAAAATATTCTATTATTATATGCATGAAAATTTCTCGCAATCACATTGGTCGGATCCTATACACGGACCAGTCCTCAAAAACTCATGTTGACTGGTTATCCGATGAATATCAATTTCTAAATATAGCCTATATGGAAATTCCCCGGAACCTGTCGTAGCGCAAGCGCAGTTAGACCGGAACGAATATGTCAGACGACAATAGAAGATGGCTGCTGGTGAACGTTTCTCCTCCGTTACATCAGAAATTACCAAAACTATTCGAGGATAAAGATGCTGTTAACATAAAAAAGGCCATTGAACACGCAGTGCATGTCCTCCATGCTTATCTTAAGAAAAATAACCTGATGATGCCTTCGAAAGCTACAATGCAGAACTGTTGAATTCAAACTTGGCTAAATTTTACACGGAGGCTCGCGTACGAAAATCAGAACCTTGATTTTTGTTTTGTTTTATTTTTTTGTTGAAGCATATAATAAAACAGTTATGGGCTTTAGTGCTGGTACCAGCACAAAAGTCTATAAATGTATATTAACAAATACTACAAAATGTATTTTTTTGAGATACATGTACTATAGGCAAGATTAATTGATAAGCATATACTGTACTATAAAAATGTTACACATGATCAGTTAAATTATCATCAAAATCAACTTGTTATTTAAAATAACTTTAATATTTGTCTTCCAATCTGACAGGTGTGTCGGTGAATCTATAATAATGTAGTAACATTATATAATATAAGCTGTGATGTGACTAGGTGGGAGGACAAATTTATCTAAATCAGTATAAAATTTGATGTGAATATGTATAACACCCTTAGTGCTATATGCTACCTTACACTTTGTACTTGTGATCTGTGTTAGAGTTATCCCCCATAAAATAACTTCAACAGGGCATTATTTGTTAATTCAGGATTTATAACGTCTTACCAATGCATCTGTGTGCCTTTCAAATGTGTTAACAAAAAAAATAAAAGTAACTAGAAAACATTAGTCAGACATCAATGTGCCCCTTGGCCCTGTGGTAATCTATGAATAGTAACGTCAGCCTTGACCCACTGTGTTACAAACTCATCTCTGTTATTCACATTCTTGACCTTCATACATGTATAAACTTTGATGAAACTTTGTTAAGAAATGAAGTTGGTAGAGTGGGTGGGTAACACTATCCCTCCCCGCACCCCACCCCACCCGCCAAAATGAAATGGCAGGGGCAATAGAAATACTTTACAGCTTTGTTAGTGTTGAGTTGAACTCTTGTATGTTATAATAAGGTAGCATATGTCCTTAAGGATATAGAATGTGAAAGCTCCAGATAGAGGTTTTCACATTATCACATTTTATTTTTTTTACATTGTGACTTTATAAACTAAAACTCATTGTAAACCAAACTAATAAGCAACTGGTCATGAGTTTTGGTTGTTGATGTCTTGGTTCAAATTAATTTTGAAAACTGAGTTTAATAATTTCTAATGATATTTTTCAAAAGAAGCAAATAAATATTTAGTCTTCAAATAGTTTGAACTCTTCCAATGATTGATTAACATGATAATTCTGTAAATTTGTTTAGCCAGTATATAATAGGTACTAAAAGAAAATGTGAAGGTATTTTGTACAGATACCCGGTAAGATACTAAATAATAATGTACGTGAACAAGTGAGCCGGCCCTTCAGACAGGTGAGCTAGATGTGTTAAAACATTGTTAACTAAATAACTACATAGTATCACATGATCACTAGAACCTGTTCAACTACTACTGTCCCGTGCTGGTATTACCTTCTCAAGTTCCTGTGTAGGAGTTAAGGAAATACAAGTCCTGATTAATGGAATGATGGCTCACAATTTCGTTTTACTGTTGCACATCTGTGTTGACAATTTTAGCTTAAACTGTCTTTGAGAAGTCTTTCGACACTTTAAATTTTGTGCTGACACTAATCAAATCTCAAATTAAATAATTGTAATCAGCCAACAGACTTTGTTCATACTCGAAGCATAATTACTCAACTTGCTGTGTGATTTTCAATCATAATTAGTTAACATACCTATTTGTATAAGGACAATCACATTTTTGCACATGAAATGATGGTTAATTTATAAAAGGATAAAGTAATGATCAAATGATGTGTGCGTATATGGTCAGAGGCTGCTTTAGGCTACGTTTCCATCATTTTTTAATCTTGAGATATGTATTCCACCATATTATACACCATAACAATTTACAGACATATTATATGTATACTGATTATACTGGATATAGTGCTGAACAGTCTGATGTGTAACTGTTGGTGTACTGGCTGGGCAGAGATTATGAAACATGCCCCAAGTGGAAACCTGTAGTGGATAATTATGCGGACTGAGAATGAGACAAGTCCAACATCTCTCCAAGAGTCGCCCATGACCAATACACCTTACTGTTTGCCACTTGAAAATGTAATTGGACGTATATTCATGTCTACTGCAATGCCTTTAAACAACATGACTTAAATCATGCCATTATTTAAATAAGGTCATTCGTTTTTTTTCGAGTGCAAAATTTTGTTAGTGATGCCTTGTTTTCATTTCACCAGCAAGCCAATGCCACATCTGATTTCATTATTTCTAGACAGATCAATGTGGATGTGTGTGGATACATGGCTCATTTGTTTACAGTTGGGATAATGAGGAGGCTTTTGGAGGAGTATTAATTGCTTGTAAACTCATTCAGTATGATTCACCCCTATAGACACATTTGAACTCTTCCAATACAAAGGTTGGAATAGTTCATTATAAAATTTCAGGGGTGAATGAGTTAATGGTTGGTTGGAAAATTACACAGTACATTTACATGATTATCATTAACAAATCATTAACAAGTGAAAAGTGTTATGTAGCTGAAAGGGTAGAATGTCAAATATTAACTGTTGTTAGTTTCCACTACTGGAATAACTATATATAGTATATGTTCATATATTTTCTATTATGATGAATTACCTCTCATTACAGAGAGCGGAAAGGATGAGAAGTTCAACAGTCGCAAACATTTCAAAGCACACAGTATAATCAAGTACAATAATACATTACCATATACATTTATAAAGATTTATTCTTGAATTGACAGCACATTTATAAACCTGGTATATTATATGAATAACCATGAAAAATTTGCAAGAAAACCATTAATGTTACTACTGATTATAATCATGTGTAGAGTATGTCTACAGTTTAGATGTGTCAACTTGCTGTTACATTTATTGTTTCCTTCTTAAAATAACCCCACAGACAAGGATAATTTTATCAGTAAACTTACGGCTGACTTGCCGATGCTCTGCTGTATCTCGTTGAGAAACTCCAGCTGTTGAGCTGCCTCATCCAACTGATCTTCTAGGAGCTGGCATCGGATGATCCCTGAATCACACAAATTGATTATCCTAAGTTAGGGAAAGGAAATACACTGTCTCTGGTACCAAGTGATATGTGACATCATACATGTTTTTGTATCAAGCAACCTGGAACACATCTACATGAGTTTATTGTTCATTGCTAAGAAAATGACAAACTCTTCAGTTATTGTATTGTACAAATGAGCTTCCTTTTAATTTGCTATTTATTAAACGAGTCTAAAAAGTTTTTCATTTCACCAAATTAGTGTTCATGTTACATTTAAACAAGACAATTCGGCAAATTATAGTCCCCCACCGAATGTGAAATGCACAGATGATAAATTTGTGCAGGAACTAATTCTATATATGAATATTTGACAGACCCACCATATACAAAACGGAATAGTGTCAGTGCTACTATTGCAAATACATCTGGTGGATGTTTACTGGTTAGTGGTACCAGTTTACTATTAAATTGCATCTGGTGACATTATACATTCTACAGCGTTTCATTATTGGATTGCATTTAGTGGTATAAATGTGGATAGAAGTTCTAGTAACTAGAAGTGTAGGAGATAGAGCCCGGACAATTTTTTCTTTGATAAAGGTCAAAGGTCAAAATGTAGGTCACAATGACCTACTTTTGATACACGACACACCGCCTCACCAAAGTGAACCCATACACCAAGTATGAACAGTTCCAGTGACTAGTAGTGTAGGAAGGACGGACACGACGCAAAACTATCGTCCACCTCCCCCCCCCCCCAAACCCCCCCCTGGTTGTGTGCTTATTTTGCAATTAGAATGGGATTTGCCTAGATCTGCTTTCATTTCTGTTCTATACTTTCAGAAAGGAACTTGAAGAGTTGTATGCATTTTGGTACTAATGGGTTATCCTTCTGTTGTGAATAGTCACGTGTCTATGACATTGAATTGAATTGTGTGTATTGATAGGTACCGGGCACTAAGAACAGCTCTACTCCATTTCACATGAAACTTTAGTTTTAACAGTATAGATAGTAACCAAACTGGGATTCAGGGTAAAAACCGAAATTGGACTCCTATCTGATATGTGATGGTAGGAAACAAACTCTGAATCAAGTTTTACCTGTGAGGGCAGCCACACTAGTTTCGTCCATTTTCATGGCATTCCTATAACATCTCATGGCATCCTTGACCTTGCCCTGAAGCAGTAGTTGGAAGCCAAGCTCGTTGACATAATCAGCAGTGTCAGGGCTCTGTTGGACACATCGCTCCATTAACGTGTAAGTCTGTTGTAACACCAGCTGGTTCCTCCCACACTGAAACAAGACAGATGTAACACTGCACAGCACTCAAACTTGATGTTAAAATGGTTATTTTTGATGATGGAAACTTGTTACCTTGATCAGTTTGGATTCCATTATGTATGTTGTAGGCCATTGTACTTCATACTAGTATAACATCAGAACATTGAAAAATGTACCCTTGATTTTACAATTTTAGGAGTTTCTCTGCACAAATAATAACAATATTTACTGAAAAGAAATTGATTTGTATTGAAACTAAGTCCTGATATTTTGCATGTTTGCATGAATACAATATGAATGCACTGGAACCTTGGTAGATTCCTGTAGAAATAGATAGAAATTTGAATCTAACTATATCATATTGAAATAATATTAACACAGACTAAAATTGTAAAAAAAATGTTTCAGCTATCATAAAGGATATCTTAAAAGTCCAACCTTGATAAAATATTCATATATTTTAAGGTCGAAATTTTCCATTTTGTTCTCAATTCCTTTACACACCTTTCCCAATATATTACAACACCTTGATATATCACCAATGTCTGTGCCATACTGCGATATATGTTGTCATACTTACTATCCTACAGAACGACTGTGCCATGCTGTGATATATGTTGTCATACTTCCTATCCTACAGAACGACTGTGCCATACTGTGATATATGTTGCCATACTTACTATCCTACAGAACGACTGTGCCACACTGTGATATATGTTGTCATACTTACTATCCTACAGAACGCCTGTGTCATACTGTGATATATGTTGTCATACTTACTATCCTACAGAACGTCTGTGTCATACTGTGATATATGTTGTTATACTTACTATCCTACAGAACGACTGTGCCATACTGTGATATATGTTGCCATACTTACTATCCTACAGAACGACTGTGCCATACTGTGATAGAGACTAGCACTCCTTGGCTCAGTTCTGTCTAAAGTTGTTATTATGTCACCGAGTTTGGTTGAAGCCTGAAATAGACAATTTCTAATACAGAGTGGTCTGTACAACTTCATAATGTTTCAGTTATGGATGATTGGAACAGTATACAATACACAAAGTAAAATTTCAAAGAGATATGAAAGAGAAGTGTGATTCTTCTCTTCTGCTTGAGCAATGTGACTGAGATACTGAAGAAACTAAATATTACACACTGATTTGTAGATAGTGTAAAATAGACAATTTATCTATCTGTGTTATCAATAGTCAATGGCTTTCAATTTCAAACATTTCATTTGTTCATTGTTAAATTTTAGTCAATACGTTTTCTACATTGGCAACTCTGATAGACTGTTACTTTATCCTTTCAGCACCTGCATTTGTAAACGTGCATACCACTATTGGATAACAGGAAATTAAACTATCAAGACAGTGAAATATAGCCAGTTAAAATCAAAGAAAGAACACATGGTTGGTTAACAACCAAATAAGATATTCTTTAAGACGTTCATCATTATCTTTTGCAGACTAAATCTTGATCTTAAGCAGCAAAACAGTATTTACTGGACCAACAGGAGTAAGTGGGTGCTTACCTCAGAATAATTTCCTTCCCTACACAACAGGTACAGGGTCTGGTACCGCAGAGCCTCCAGACAGTGCATGTCCTGGCCGAGGGCTCTGTAAGTATCACAAACTTTCATTACAGACATTGTAAGTCCAGCAGACTGAAAACTCTCTTTAAAATGAAAAAAAAATCCATAACTATCCAGTCCACGAAAAAAAACTTGAATTATGTCAGTGTGACATTAAAGCCGCTCACCACTTTAAATTTAATTGCTTCAGTAACACGTTGAGCATCAATATCTACTATAATACTCTGTATTCTGCTAATTGAAAATCAGGTCATGTGATGATGTTGCCTTTGGAGTTTCCAAAATCAATCACCTCTTAAATGATGCCTTAAAAACATTTCTACCTCTACTCTTTTTCACCCTCTTTTGTGACGCATTATTGTAATTTTCATTAATTAGCATCCTCCAATGATGTGACATGAGCATTTACATGCAGAATGGCAATCGGTGAATGGGTAATAAAGAATAGGTGCATTTTGAAAAGAGACATTGAACTCCTTTTATTTATATGTATTTTTTATTCATATTAATAATAATTACTAATATATGTAGTGACTTTATTTACTGTCATTGAATATACAATTCATCACAAAATCTCACAAATGCTCTTGGAATATATTTGAATTTTCATATTTCTCAATGCGACTTTACCTACATAAGAGTTATTTCCCTTACACCGGATTGGATAATATTTTGACACAGCGCGAATTCTTGTCAAACAGCAGCGGCAGTTGTGTCATGTTCTTAAATTGTTACATTTTCATATATAAATACCCCAGAAATAGCATGCTGTGTTACAGAAATGTTTGATAAGCAGTTCACATATCGTCTCGTCTTAGAGCCACGTCCGTGGTAGCAACGATGGTTTATTACCGTTATCAACCTAAGCACAATATGATCAAAATAGAGGTTATACTTCATCACGCATACGGTTTATAATATATATTTACTTCTTCCTTGTACTTACAAAATATAAAAAGCTAGACCATAGGTGGTGGGCACGTCTATCAAAAAAAATTGAATAAATAAAACTAGACGTGCCAACCACCTATGGCTAGACCGGAAAGATGTGTGCTTTCTCGAATCAGAGTCACGAAAACAAACACTCCTCAATCCAAGTTGCTAAAACCCTCAAACCTAGTGCATGCATTTCACCACCACAACACTCATAGAATGCACCGGAGATAAACATTTCGTTTGGAGAGGAGTATCAGAAGAATTTATGTAACCGACAAGTGAGTGTCAGAGATTCTACTTTCTATTTACGATAACGAAACTATATAGCGGATGCATGCAAGACTGAATTATGCGCACGCACCCGAACGGAAGTGGGTCCGTCACTTCGTTCTCTGGACAGAATCAATAAGCCACTCAGCTCTCGCCAAGAGCAGCTTAAAAAACATCTGCTTATTCAACAGTTAACAATACTTTTCACAATGATTCTACCTGCTGACCCTTTGACCTGTGACCCTTGAAGCCTGATAATGAGCTGATCCAACTATCTGATAAATGTATGACCATAACACATACTTTGATGTCTTTAATATTCTAGTTTACATCATTTGGGTCAGTCCTGTTCCTGAAGTTACTGCTATATCGGACATGATACCAGTACTGCAGTACCTTTACCTGGCCTTTGACTCATTGACCTTTAACTTCTATCTGACCCCAGACATTACCTCTGTGCTGTCTCCACAGTTTGGTCCCAGTCCTGAAGAGCCAGCTGGAGCTTCATCTTCTCCACAAGAGCAGGAATGAAGGCAGGGTACCCCACGATGACCTGGTTCACCAGCTCCAGTGCTCCAGTGTAATTATGGCGCACCTCAAAATATTTAGCCTTCCCAAACAGGGCATCAATGTCTCTGGCTCCCTCATTACTACCAGGACCAAAAAAGTACAAGTAAGGAGGCAGTACTCAAATTGGATCACTTATTGCAAAAATACTTATAAATAAATAAATGTGTCAACAAATCAGTTATAACAATGATGTAGTCTTGGAATAGATAGCCATGCACCATTTTTTTGTCTACAGATGATAAGTTTTTAAGTTCAGATAGCACAAGAAAATGAATTCAAACTCAAATGTCAGTGTTTTGATTACGTTTAAAAAAAAAATGGTGTGTGCAATGACTATGCATTCTGTTTTGGACCATAGGAATAATTCACACTATAGAAATACTTTTTGTCATAAATTCTTAAGGTCATCATAAAATGTTAATATGCTGACAAAAAAGTATTCATTTGAAGTGTAAGATACTGCGGAAACGCTGATAGGTGACTTCAAAGCGTTCTATAAATAATTCAAGTGAGCCCCGGGTGCTAATTTCGTTTGTAAGAACACCCAGTGATATTCTTCCTTTGATAAAACCATAAATGAATATAATCCCTCCTCAGATTTTTCAATGAATTAATAAAATAATTTTATGGTGATCCGATTTCGGCACTGTTACCTTATCCTCAGATTTTGTGAAAACTAATCACTCTGTTATACCATAACCCTAGTCTGAATGTACATCTGTAATCAGTCTCTAACCATAATAAAACTGGCAGAATGGACAATAAGTAAACAAAATCAATGCCTTTGCCAATAAGAGGATATGGTAAGACTACCGTTTGGATTATATATCAACCTAGAAAATAATCTCAACTGTTCTGGACTAAGACAGAATTATTCATGAATATCAAGTAACCAAATAAGCTTGATGAAAATTAATTTTATCTTTATATCTAAGCCAATCAGAGTCCATGGAAGGCTTGGCACCTATCTTGGATTTATAATCAGTATGAAAATAACAGGTGAGATGATATTTCGCACAAATCCTTTGGTTAACAATGATTTATTTATTACCCATGTTGTGCCAAACACCTCTGCCCTCCCAGGGACACCATATTCTTTTTAATTACAACGTTGAATTCCCATGGCCCAAGGATACTTCAAAATTGTCAAATTACCCAGGTAAAAAAAAAATCTCACATATACTTAAGGAGCAGAGGTACTTCATACTGAATAGGAAACACTTCAAAGACAACTCACGCAATGGCATCATCGAAGTATTTAATGGCCTTTTTGGGGTCTCTTCCACTGTTGAGTTCCACCCAGCCCTTCATCACTAAACCCTACAACAAATGTTAGGAAAGTGCTTGTTTGACAAATGATTTTGAGATAAAGCTAAACCATCATTACAAATCATATGATGTCCAGTCAGATGTCACCTCATTTCCTAGAAAGAACTATCTAATACATATATACATGTATATAATGTAAAAAGAAAAATTCTCAACATTGAGTCTTTTGCAATATATGACTATGAGCCAATGACTATTACATGTATATATATATATTTATAATTTGAGTAGCAAAATACAAATTTCTAACATAAATCTTACATGGTAATGCAACTTACTGTATTTTTACATCAATTTGTGAGGAGTTGTGTGTTAGGAACTTTCACTAACATTTACATGTAATCAGACATATTTCACATGGGTCATCTCTGTCAACGTTACTCCCGTGAAGTCAATCCACACAAAAAAATATTAGTTTGAAGTAAATTATGAAATATGGGATCTTTTGCTTTACATTACATAACAGCATAAATCAACAGGTCAAACTTTTAACTTGTTTCAAAATCATTTTTTTTATTGATTTGGTTCAGTATTGTTTAAAGTCCTATCAACATCGCTGGTCATTTAAGGACGGCCATTGTTTTGAATGAGGATTTAACAAAGCATGGGATAGCATAGGTCAAGAAACTGAATACAAAATTCTGTAAAAGTGAAATATGACAGTATTTAATATCGAACAGTAGTAACTTTTAACATACATAACTTAGCTTTTTACAAATATTTCACAAATATCACAAAATGAATGCAATATTACCTCCCTTGCTATGTTAAATTGGCATTCAAAAGCAATGTTTGGAATTACAGCTAGAGCTTAATATGTGGTTTCTATGGACCAAATGTTGTTTTTGGTGTGTTCAGTTGATGTAGACTGTCAACCATATACTCACATCCTTTGTTGTATTCATTTTAAGCATTCTATCAATGTACTCTCGGGCCTTGTCAAACTTTCTACTGTGGAACAGAAACCAGGCAGCATAGTACAACCCCTGAAACACAAAGGAATAGGCAATGTCATAAGACAAAATTTATCTTAAAAGTATCAGTGTAAGTTTCCCTTCACACATGCTGTATATATTACGGAATTAAAATTCAAAAATATATGTTCTGCAAGCTTCTACAGTTTGTCTGAAACTTTTAACAATATGGAACAACAGTCCTTGCATTTTGTTTCTACTTTGACTTTTCATGAACAGATTTCTATTTTATAAAGGAAGCCTGCACAGTTGACAAGTAAATTTGCTCCGTTATACATTCCAATTCAACAATCTGTATGAATACAAAAATATGAAAAATATGACTGGAAAACAAACATAGCAGAATGATCAATATTAAAAAAAAATGCTATTTTTCAATATTGATTTTCACAGCACATAGACTCAAGCATTTAGTACTTCTTTTTACTAAGTCATTTAATTATCAACAAAGCAGGTAGATAACAATGGGCCTTAAACAGTACCAAATTTTACACCAATCAGACTTTCTCTAAACATTCCAAAAATTTTAATAATAATGTTTTTTTACCAATTCTCCAGCCTGTTTTCTTTCCTCTTTCAATTTTGCATCAAGATCTTGCAGTGCTTCTCTATCTGTAAAAATGAACAAAAAACAGATACTAATGCTGAAAATACAATAATTACACAGATTTGGACAGTGATCATATTTTGGTGACTCAATTTTTGTATAAAGACAGTCAAACTGCTCTCTGTATTATCCTCAAAACTTACCAACATTCTGACTTTGTTTGTGACCCAGCATTAGTGCCATGACAGAACATAGATTGACATCACGTTTGTCTTTCAGAAGGTCAAGCTCTCTCATGCCTTCCTGCGTACGACCTTGAAGAAGAAAGGAAACACTCAGCATAAAGAGTACCTCTTCATTCTTAATTTAGATTACAAGAAACTTACAACATATATATGACCTCATAAGAAAACAGGTCTTTGTTTTTATAGTTAATATCTATTTTGTTTACTAGTTCCAACATAAAATGAACTAGCCTCAGGTGTTAGACTAGACTTGAGTAAATATATTCATTCAAAGTTACTCTTACTTGAATTATCTGTCATTCCAAATTTGGCAAAATATGTCATTTTCATTCATGATAATCAATTAAATAAATGAAATTTCTGATACTAAGCTTTAGTATACACTGCTGCATTTTTTTTTATCTGTAACTGTAGATGTTCCAGCAAAGAAAAAAGGGGTAGGCAAAACTTCCTTTATTTCACTACAGGGATGTGATTGGGAAAATCGAAGTGAAAAAGGAAGAACATGCCCAACCCCCTTAAAATTATACATTTTTCAGAACAAATCAAGATATTTCAAAATTATTGAAAAGAACAGAAAAGAAAAACACTGTTATCTATACAACTCTAGAAACCATTATTTTACTAGGCTTGATTTTTTTCTCACATTATTGATTATTTTGAGAATATTTTAATGTCTCTATCATGTCGGGACAAAATCTGTACTCTATGGTATTTGTGCAGTCACAAGTTTTCATAGGCTTTTGCTAGGTTCAATTAAAGCCAAAAAATCTCAATTTGGAAAAAGGGAATTTAAGTACTCTTAATTTTAAACAGCAATTCAGTGATTTACGTCAGACAGACATTCATTTCAGAATGTTCTGAAGAATTCACAAGAATTTCTCCAATTCAAATGGACCCTACTTGACTGGAGTGCGTCACCTGCTCTTGACTGCAACCATATGTTTATGTTTAACTATATTTTGTTCAATATTAACTATAGGTATGTGGAGAAAGTGTTACAGTATATATATATGTAAATCAAAGTATTCTTGTTTTAAGAGTTATTGCATGAAAATAATTTGTGCAGACGCCGCTGACACATTGATCCATGTCACTTATGTTTTGTAGGCGACACAAAGTGAGAGGGAAATTCCTTGGTTGAAACTGTTACCCTGTAGGATATAGGAGTAGGCCCTGAAGAATTTAAGAACAACATCATTGCTGTATTTTTGAAGTCCTTCAGTTGCAGCATTTTCCATATGACAAAAATACCCCTCCCTACAGTAGTAGTTGATCTTCCCCTGCAAATGTGAACAAAATCTGAGTCAGTTTTTCATAACAGTGAACACATATATATTTGATCATTCAACTGCCTTACATTTTAAAGAAATTTGGCTGCATGGTACCGTTTCACGACATTTCATTGTGACATTGATATCATCTTGTAGCATTTCAAGTGCAGAAAAACCTTGGATATCAATAAAAAAAAGGGGCCGTTGTTGTTAAAATAAAATGATGGCAAAGAACGGGCCAATTTTAGTTTTGAGGGGACAATCAAATGCCCTTAATCTTTAGTGTTATTCCTGCAAGTGGTGACTATATCATTTTACACTGGCTCTGATGGCAGTTGTTACCATTGTGATACTGATGTTGCTTACATAGGCCTAAATGATTCATAAATCAAAGCTGTATGGGCAAGTGCAGGTGCTTTTTGTGAAATATGTTCAACACTAAACCAAATATCATCAGGATGCCAATTAAAAATATGAGTCCTTGATATCATTATCGAATATATTATTTGTTTTCACTGTTACCTGGAACAGTCTTTTGACTCATTGAATATCCTACTCTAGGATTAAAGCATTAAAGCCATTTTGGTCTCTTTGGAGTATAACACATAGATAGACTACTTCAACTTCAACAGGATACTCTAAAACGTTCAATATATTGAACATAAGTTAGAGGCGTCAGAGAGAGCGGTTAAAAACAAGTATTTTTATTTTTTATTTTTTAGAACTATATATGATAAAGGCGACATGTACGCTTAGAATTTGTCAGAGAGGAGATTTGCCTTCAGTGTTGAGAGGTCTGCACTGTCGGCGATGAAGGTTGGGAGGCTGTTCCAGGTACAAATTGTTCTAGGCCACAAGGCTGTTTATGATTTTATATAGTAATATGGTGGAGGTCATTTTACGGCGTTGTTCAAGGGATTGCCAGTTCAGGGTTTGGAGCATTTCTGTAACACTACTGGTGTAGTTATAGCACCCAAGGGTGTACTTGGCGGCTCTTCTCAGCACCATTTCAACTTTATGGGTAAGGTTTGCCCGCCATGGATCCCAGATGGGGCTACAGTATTCAATGTGTGGGCGGACATAAGTTTTATAAGCTAACTCTTTTGTTTTTACATTGGTAGTTTTAATATTTCTCCAAATGAATCTTAGGGATGAATTTGCCTTGTTGGTAATGTGGTAACGACTAGTCATTAGCTTTTGAGATGTTGGATTTCTGGTGGGATGATAGATGAACTGCTGGCATAGGCTCGGGGATGACAAGAGTCAGAAACATAAATGCAGGAACGTTGAATTATATGACAGAAACCGTGGTGGCACTTGTGCAAAACATCAACAACCTGACAACTTCAGTTTTTACTTTAGTTGCCGGTAACGTAACATTAAGTTGTCGTGTCTTATTGAGGCAATACTGAGTGAATCGCTGAAAAATATTTAATAAGCTGAAGGCAATATTTAGCTATACTTACGATGATAACGGGATCAATATCCGCCATGGTGTTGTAATTTGTTTATTTATTTTTTACAAGTTATATCGTCCCTGGCTTCAATCGGATGTATTTCAGGAATTTCCTTAATGCGCATGCTTTCAAAAAGTTTTTCTTCCGGTAGGTCAAATTATGCTACACGTGGGTGTTTGAATAGTTTCGCATTGTAATAATGTTCCTCAATTGTCTGTCATCTAATCCCCACATAGAAAATACAAGCGCCTTTTATTTTTGGTATCTTCGACAGAAAACACAATTTAAAGAGCAGTATATCGTACAGAACCTGTCGAGACAATGCAAAATATGACAATCCCCTTCGCGTCACAATCAGTGACCCGTGACGATCGCTCCATGACAATTACGGCAACAAACCCATGCGGTCGGGTCTGTCGATATTCCCTATGTAGTGGCACATAGGCTATCATTTACCTTTGATCAGCAGTGCGAGCAAAGAGATTATTTAATCTGGGAGAGGTGTGAGGAAAAAGTGAAATGTCGCGATACGACAATAACAGTGGACCGTTGACTCTCATCCATGATCGTAAGTAAACGATTTTATATTGATTTTATATTATTTTTTTTTACATTTTTTTGGTTTTATTGCTTTGATTTTATTTCATTATTTGCTTTGCTGTTCCAAATTTACTTATCGTTAAATATATCATAGGCTATTTTGAGACAGTATGATTATATAAAGGTCTATACTGTAGCTACATTATTTGCAAAGTTATAATAGGATCGATTTAAAAAAAAAAAAAAAAGTTTAAATATCAGTAGTTCAAATATTATATAGTATTGATTTCACGGGAATAACAGTTTGCACTTAAAAAGCATACATAACGCAAAAGACAGCTTGATGCGAGTCTTCTCAATTTGTTATTTTTTATCCATTCATAGACTATTGTTATAGAGTAATTTATGTAAATGAAGCTCTTTAATTGTGTATTTAAAAAAAAAAAAACTTTTAAACTTTTTTGATGACTGGCACCATGCAGGAAGGACTGGACTATTTAGAGTAAAGCGTGATGAAAAATGATAGCTATATGTTTTAATTGATTTATTTATATAAGCAGTTATGGAGAATCTATACACAGATACATACATTAAGTGTCTATAATTTGTTAAAAGGGATGGGGAAAATCTTTGGAATATCCCCAACCCACCCCAAATCATAATCAAACAATCAATAGAGTATACATAAACAAATAGAAAATTATATGATATGGAATTATATATATACAATACCATTAAATACAAGTTCATTGCTCATGCAAAAATAACTGTACCGCGCATAATTTTATTTAAGAACCTCCATACTTGCTGGTTTCCAGAAAAAATAATACTGACTGTTTAGAAAGGTTTTGATGAAAATGTGAGTAATTAACATTTCTTTCCTTAAAATCAAAAGTTATTTAATTTAAATTTTCATTTTTAACTAATTTAAAGCACTGTAAGCAGATAATAGCAGCTGATACTGATCAAAATTACACTGTTAAAACACACCTGTAATGTATCAGTGCAGTCTGTTCAAACTTACCTGTAATTTGACTCTGTCATATAATCTACCACTGAGGCTAGCAAGGGGGTTCTTCAGAAGATGTGATACTGATTAAGCTATTATTCAAATTATAGGTGTTCACAGATGAAACCAGGAATTATTTATTCCGATTTTTTTCTCATGTTTGTGTAAATTAAAAAAAAAAGTTTAGTGATGATGCAATTAATACTTGCAGTGTGTATATTAGGTAAACCCTGCCCTCTTCTAACACACCATTTAATTAGGTACCCAAAGATAAAGTCAAGTGTATCGCATGAATAATCAACATTGATAAAACAGTTTAAAGATATATCTTTGTTTTACAGTTAGTAGCTGAAATATCACACGTGTGGACCTGTACAGATTGTATATGTGTTTTATACACATATATTTGATTATAATCTCAGATTATGATTTGGATTTATGGTGAAAACATTAAATTATTACAGAGTAGATTAAAGTTTATGTTTCCAGCAGTTAAAGTCTGGTTAGCTATGCACTTTAATTTAATAAAATAGTTTTTACAGTGCCTCTATTCCTTTTTTAATAGGAAACTCATCATCCGAACACATTCGAAAGTTAAAAAACAATTGACTCCACAATTATGATAACTGGTCATTGAATCTGTTTTAAACCAGAAGGTTTATAATGTTTACTAGAGCTATACATGTGTATGTTATATAAGGCATTTGTAAAGAGCCACCAGTTGTTATGAGTTGTATTTCTGGTTTTATTTTATTTCAATTGGTATCATATGACTAATTTACATCTAGTGCACTTTCAAGCTTCAACAGACAAAAAAGCTAGAGAAAACATGGCAATATTTAAGCTTAACTATGTAAAGCGTATTTGGCCGGTTAATGAACCAGTACAGCTGAGGTCCACCCCCCCCCACCCTCCCACTCAAATTGATTCAATGAAAAAGAAATATTCTATCTTAAATTTGTGGTTTGATCAACTCGTAATCAAATTTCTGTTTTCACTACATTTATTTTATAAATTAACACTTTAATACTTTTAATGTCACTGATAACAATACGATTTAATACTGTATGTTAAAAATAACTGTCCTTAAATGTACGTAGTGGATTATAATTATTGTACCTATAACTGTGAAAGAAGTTTTATACTGTTAGTCTATATAACTAAATAGCACCATGTAGAACAGCATGCATCATGTAACAACCAATGTTATAGTGTTTGTTTAATTTCCTAGTAACCACGTCTTATTCTTTTGAAAAAATCCATGAACATGTTTTTCAGTTTTTGTCACTACATGAAATTCTACCAGTATTTGTTACTTGTGTACCCAGTATACTTTTTCACCGAGTAAAGAACATGTATAGATACATGATACTTGAATTATGACTGTCCATCCATTCACTACCAGTAAATACTTTTCAACCAATTGTTAATTGACAAGAAAAACTTCCACAACATATAGATACATGATACTTTAACGATGACCGTTCATCCATTCACTACCAGTAAATACTTTATAACCAATTACATTGACTAGAGAAAACTTCTACAACACAACAGAAGATATATAATACTTAACTATAGGTGGCCGTCACAACCAGTAATTACATAAATAATTATATTGACGAGAAAAACTTCTACGACACCATGGTAAAAATCCTGATTGACGTTAAGTGACAAGTTCACCAAAAAAGTCATTTTAAATATTTCAAAAAATGATGAAAATATTACTGTCAATTAAATAATACATGTAGCTGATGTACAAATAGGCAATGTAAGACAAGAAACATAACAGTATATATATGTTTAAAAACCTATAAGCTGATCCTAGTATGAAATGTCTGGTCAAATTTTAACTTGTGTCAGTTATATTATCTTCAAACCATTATTGTTTCTATACCCAATTGATAATGTTAATTAGCAATTCAATATCTCTGTTTATATAAAAAAGTGAAGAAACAAACACTTTGTTTGTAAATATAAGTGTTACGTCAGTAATTTGCAAGCTTATCATGCGTTGGGAGATTTTTATATGTACTACATGTAGTATGTAGCTGTACATACATGTATGTATACAATTCTATGTGGAATTTTGACAGGTATTTAAAAATGAGTCCTACGCCCATTCAACTTCTGGTATATATATGACATAAAGTGATCTGTACATTTATATTCTTCTAGCTAGTTAAAGCACAGTGTGGTGAATTAAAAGTCCAAGCATACATTGTGGACAAAATCAACCAGCAATGTTTAGTTTGCCATGAGACTGTGAGCTAATTGAAGATGGCCCTTTAATAAAACACTAAATCAAAAGCTACAACCTCAAAATAACAGCCTCACTTTAAGTTACACTGTAGCTACATCATACCTACCAAATAGAGAAGGTTTGCTGTATACGTATGAGTTACACTGTAGCTACACCATACCTACCTAATAGAGAAGGTTTGCTGTATACATATAAGTTACACTGTATCTACATCATCCCTACCAAAGAGAGAAGGTTTGCTGTATACATATAAGTTACACTGTACCGCTACATCATACCTACCAAATAGAGAAGGTTTGCTTTATACATATAAGTTACACTGTAGCTACACCATACCTACCAAATAGAGAAGGTTTGCTGTATACATATAAGTTACACTGTACCGCTACATCATACCTACCAAATAGAGAAGGTTTGCTGTATATATATAAGTTACACTGTAGTGACATCATACCTACCAAATAGAAAAGGTTTGCTGTATACATATAAGTTACACTGTATCTACATCATACCTACCAAAGAGAGAAGGTTTGCTGTATACATATATGTTACACTGTAGCTACATAATACCTACCAAATAGAGAAGGTTTGCTGTATATATATAAGTTACACTGTATCTACATCATCCCTACCAAAGAGAGAAGGTTTGCTGCATACATATAAGTTACACTGTATCTACATCATACCTACCAAATAGAGAAGGTTTGCTGTATACATATAAGTTACACTGTTGCTACATCATACCTACCAAATAGAGAAGGTTTGCTGTATACATATCAGTTACACTGTACCTACATCATACCTACCAAAGAGAGAAGGTTTGCTGTATACAAATAAGTTACACTGTAGCTACACCATACCTACCAAATAGAGAAGGTTTGCTGTATATATATAAGTTACACTGTAGTGACATCATACCTACCAAATAGACAAGATTTGCTGTATACATATAAGTTGCACTGTAGCTACATCATACCTACCAAAGAGAGTAGGTTTGCTGTATACATATAAGTTGCACTGTAGCTACATCATACCTACCGAATAGAGTAGGTTTGCTGTATACATTTAAGTTACACTGTAGCTACATCTTACCTACCAAAGAGAGAAGGTTTGCTGTATACACATAAGTTACACTGTAGCTACATCTTACCTACCAAAGAGAGAAGGTCTGCTGTATACATATAAGTTACGCTGTAGCTACATCATACCTACCGAATAGAGTAGGTTTGCTGTATACATATGAGTTGCACTATAGCTACGATATATGTACATACATTGTACCTCCATGACGTAGTAGTTTTGCTATGTCACAGTTTAGCTACAATGAAACCTCCCTAATATAGCAGCTTTGCTATGTCACAGTTTAGCTACAATGAAACCTCCCTAATATAGCAGCTTTGCTATGTCACAGTGTAGCTACAATGTAACCTCCCTAGTATAGCAGCTTTGCTATGTCACAGTGTAGCTACAATGTAACTACCAAATAGAGAAGGTTTGCTATATACATATAAGTTACGCTGTAGCTACATCATACCTACCAAAGAGCGAAGGTTTGCTGTATACATATAGGTTACACTGTAGCTACATCATACCTGCCAAATAGAGTAGGTTTGCTGTAGACATATAAGTTACACTGTAGCGCTACATCATACCTACCAAATAGAGTAGGTTTGCTGTATACATATGAGTTGCACTATAGCTATGATATATGTACATACATTGTACCTCCATGACGTAGTAGTTTTGCTATGTCACA